TGGCCAGGGAAATTTCGCTATTGGCACCCCTTGTAAAATGACAATGGTTACATGAGGGGACATAGGTAGATTTATGACCCTCATATACGCCACGACCAAGTTAGCTCAGTTAGCCCCTCATCACCTACTCACTGCATCCACTGACCTTCAAAGTATGCAAGTCCCACCGCTCCGCGGCACGCGGTTCAAAGAACCTTTTTTTCGTCTCACATCCTGTTATAGAAGATCTGGATCTGCCTTCATGCCTTATACTCTTGTGTGTATGTAGTGGCCAAGAGTAGACTAGGCTGTAGGACATATCTTGCTACGTAGAACTGCTTGAGGGACTGCAAGGGGATAGTCGTTTCCCAAGTATTGGGCACGTACACTCCCACTATTTGAGTACTTGAACCCAAACCAGCAGCAATGAGCGTAGCAGTCCAACTCAACTCTTTTGCGCCTTCACCTAAACCCTAAACCCTAAACCCCCCAAACCTTTCAACTCTTACGGCGCGAGCCCGGCCACGAACTTGCCACGGGAGCCATGAGCCTGGTGCGAGAAATTGAGCAAGCTGTCAGTGCGAGCTGTTGTTGTGAGAGCCGTGGTGAAACCGATGCTCGCAAGAAATGGGAGAAGGAATAGTAGCAACAGAAGACGTGATAGTGGTAATACTGATAGTTACAGTAGCATTATGACTAGGTCTAGGTAGTGGTACAGGGGTTGAAAGTTCAGATCCTAAACCCTTGTTGGGGCTGACGCTTTAGGCCAGCATGTCGACTGGGGTTGTCATCGGGATGATGCAGCATGCAGACTGTTTTTTCCAGGGGATCCTAAGTATCTATATGGTACACTGTAGGGTCTCTATACTGGGAGTGAATAAGAGGGTTTACCTCAGTGATCTCTATTCATTTTCTTGGGAATTTGTGGTTTGTGCGCTTCAGATACTATTGTAGATCTTTAGGCATCTTGCACTATTTAGGACCCCGCCTATTCACCGCAATTCTCACGGTGAAGTGTATGGCATGAAAAGTGCAAGATTTCGCGCATTTCCGGCAATCCGCTTAGGGTTTAGGAAATAGGGTTCAGGGTTTAGGATTTAGGTTTTAGGGTTTAGGATGTAGGATTTAGGGTTTAGGATTTAGGATATAAGGTTTAAGGTTTAGTGCGCCTTAAGGTTCTCATGTAGTCCTATCTGGATCCCCAGTGTGGCTATGCCACTCGGAGCCGACAATGAGACCGCAATTTTGACAACCTTAAACCCTAATCCCCAAACCCAATATCTCCCCACATGCCCTTGCATAACTCTAATAGCTTTGACAACCCAATACCCTCATTCCTAAGCCGTATATCTTCCCGTATCTCCTCAGATAACGATCCCTAAGGGTCCAAAGACCCAAATAATAGGGCTTTAGGGCCCAAATACCATTAATATTCTAGTGCTTGGGTCCTAAAACGCTATTATTTAGGTCCTTGGACCCTCAGGGGATATAACCCCCTAGAAGAGACCATAATTTTGACAAGCCCCTGCGTAACAAACTGCTAAGGTAAGGCTCGAAATCGAGCAGATCGAACCTTCCTCTGCCTTTGAGACCGCAGCTGTGGGTGAACCACTGTCCATACCTGACAGTGACTGACAGTTAGGGCTTTGGGGTTTAGGGTTTAGGGTTTGGGTTTAGGGTCTGGGGTCGGGTTTAGGGTAAGGTTAGTGTCTGGGGCTTGGGGTCTAGGGTTCAGGGTTTGGGGTAAAGGGTTTAGGGTCAAGCGTCTAGGATTGGAAGTTCCCTGCAACCCTCAGGGTCTTAGTGCCCAACAATCATGTACTTACCCACGGCAGTTTCTAGTACCCAGCCCGCAAGTACACAATGATTTGGCACATGGACCCTTAGGGAAGATGTGTGTTTCGATTTTTTCTGTTTTCTGTAATCCTAAGAGCCCACGGAAACCATTACAAGTTCTACCAGGGTTCTTCTGGGCTCTTGTAGAACAAAAAATTATGTTTTTGGATACCTGGGCCTAATATCAACAAAACAAGATGTTTTTTCTGGTGTTCCAATAAGAACCCAGTCTAGGGAGTGTGGAGGTGAGACAGAGAACTACGGAAGCTGGAGGGAGGATGACTCGAAAGAGGCGGAGGCTGTAGACCTCAGACGGACTAGTACCAGCAAGCCTCTTTTGCGAGGAATTTCGCTACGCAGCTGGCTTGCTTCATCTTGGATGAGTTTTCTTCTGCTACCTCCAGGAAAGCTACACATAAGGAGAACACAGTATAAAAGGAGCGACATGAGCACCCCAAACAGAAAGAGGGAACCCCAAAAATGTAGTGTGAACATACTAGAAAAATACCTACCAGGTCCTTACATTTCTATTATATACCCCAAGCCCTAAACCCTAAACCTTAAACCATTCCTATCATATTCCTACTGATTCCCAAAGGGTCCTAAGTACCCATATGGGGAACACTTACCCAAACCATAAGGGAAACTACTACTACAGAAACCATACTTTGTACCATATAGGTACTTTGGACACTTTGGGATTCTAGGGTTTCTCATCCTAAAGCCCCCAGCTCCAAAGCCTATATTTTTGGCTTAGGTCTGTTCAGCCTCCCCGAATATCCGTACGACCCCTATGTAAACGGAGGGCCTCTAAAGGGTAATGATCCCCGTTTACCATAAACTGCATTTGAAAGTTTAAGCCCTAAACCCTAAACCCTCGCGGTGTAGGGTTTAGGGTTTATAGGGAGCGTGTGGCCGTGAGACCCCTAAATTGCGTGGCTCCCGAGACCCAAGACTCTCACCCTCACTGTTCAAGCCCAGGCAAATACAGATTGAATGGGACAAAAGCAGAAAGTTGTTCAGCAAAATTTTCAACTGGAACCCTATATCCACTTTGTTGGAACCCTAAACCCAGGTAAGAGTTTGCGAAGCTGTGGCGTGCTGTGGAGGCCGAGTGTCCAACTATTCCATGAATTAAGTCCCTCAGACGTTCTGGTACGCAACTGAGGGTACTGCGTTTTAGGGCCTACGGTTTTTGGTTGGAGACAAATTCCAAGGTTTATGGTTTAATGTTTTGGGTTGGGGGTTTAGGACGAGGGTTGTTTAGGGTCGATGGAGGATTCCTGTGCTACCTATTTCTCGTGGTACAGGGAATGTAAGGTGGTGCTCTGCACGGCCACTTTTAAGGTTCCGTTCGCGAGGCTCAACCCTAAACTCTCCGAAGGGAGGTCTAGGGTCAAGGGTTCGGGGCTATAGTCCCCCTTAAGTAGATGGAATATGGCGTTGGGTACATTATAATAAGATCCCCATATACCCTATCAGCTATCTTTTTGAGGGAGACTATAGCTCAAAAAACCAAGGCAAAACCGTAGCCCTAACGCTCTAAGGACTCATAATATAAGGCTTGTGGGCCCAAGAACCATACTATAAAAGGTTTTTGGGCTATTTTGAGCCTTAGGGTAGCAATTGTCTGCAGGCACAAGCCAACGGAGCTGGATGAGGAGCAGCGATCCAAGCTACTCGGAGTGACAGAGGGTAGCCCTAGGGCTCCAAAGAGGCAATATGGTAGTTTCCCGACATAGGGGGACCCAATAAAGCACCCAAATACTACTGTCCTTATTCTGGGGACCCCCCAACAAGGTACCCCTAATTTTGGGAAATCCCCATATACCTACAGTGCCCACAGATTGCAGGGCCAAAAGTAGATACCATGCTTTTTCGGGTTGCAGACTGAATCTCTACTCACAGAACTCTGCAGTCATCATGTGTGATCATGTTTGGCACTCCCCAAAATCATCGAGTTTTTGGTATACACCTCATGTTGTCGGATTCGGGGCTCGAGTTTGGCGACATCCTAAACTAGACATGGGTCTTCAGAAGTCCTGATAGAACATCCTAGATTATACATGGGTCATCAGAAGTCCGAATAAGCCTGGCAGCGCAAGCAACATCCATTGTCATCAAATTTCCATGAAGGCTTTACCGTTCTTCGCAACCGGTCGAGAAGCTGGACGTTTTTTTGTCGCACACGTGGCTGACAGCTGGGAGGCGTACACCCTAAACTCTGAGCCCTAAATTCCCTAAACCTTAAACCCTTATCATTTCGCGTTTGCAGCTCAGGGGCCTGGGGCTTGACTCGGTTTAGGGTTTATTGGGTCTTGTGCTCCACATTTTGCGAAGTATATTGACCCTCAGCCCTGAAATAAAGCAGCCCTGTTCAAGTAGAGCTGTGGAGGTTGAGGGAAATCCTAAAATCACCAAAGCCCAAACCCTAAACCCTAAGCCCTAATGAGGTGTGGGATTGAAGGGTTGGCTGCAGTAATGCTTTCCCATCACTGGAAGTTCAATTTTTGAGTTTAGGGTCCAGGGTTTAAGGTTTACGTACTGGTTCATAGTAGGGAATGAGGAATTATGATCCCTAGATAATCCCTCTCATACATTCCCTTATTCCCTGCTTATCCAGACAGTAAGTCTAGCTTCTTCTCCGAAAACAGGGCTGGCATGGCGATTTGTGTTTGTGTGTAGTGAAGGTCCTCAACTACTCCTACAAACATCATGGTCTTCGTAGGCACTCTGTAGAAGGACCTCAAATTAAGAAACTCGTCCGCGAATGTACCATAAGGGTCCAAGGACCCAAATAATAGGGTTTTAGGACCCAATTACTATAATGTTAATGGCATTTGGGCCCTAAAACCCTATTATTTGGGTCCTAGGACCCTTAGGGGTACCTGGCTGTTTGAAATCTTGCCCTTCACATTCTCAGCAGCATGGTGAAGAGAAAGTGCGTCTGATGGCCGGGCCAAAACATCGATCCTGAACACCTGCGCTATTCAGACGACCCCCATACCTTACCCACTTTTTGGGGACCGATCTTTATGTGTAGTATCTCTATGCAAAATTAGGTACCCTGGCAAGGTCCCAAACAAAAAACATTATGCAGTATGTCTTTGGGGAATGTATGTGGTATTTCTTTGGACCCTTACTGCTACCGTGGATGAGTAGGCCCTTTGGTTGTTGCATGGAAGGTGGAAATTTCTGTCGCTACTCGTCGTTTCCGGCTGGCGCCACATGTTGTGGGGGTGGTTCGTTGGCGCAGGTCTGGCATTTTCCCTGACTATGCTGGATATATTGCCATTGACATACCCTACACAGTTCACGAGACTCGGATATCCTGAAATCGTTCCCATGGGCTTTTGGACTACGATTGGTGGCCTTGTTTCAGCAGTGGGCGGTTTGATGGCGTATCCACACCTGCCCACCTGCCGACCGGACATGTCGTTTATCGACTCAGCTTGTATACATCAAACGGATCCAATCCTTATGAGGCGAGGTATTCTGAACCCTAAACCCTGTATAAGCCCAACATGTCCCTACATAACCCTACATAAATCTTGAAACCTCAAACCCTGAACCCTTAACCACATAAATCCCCATTCAGGCAAGGCATTCAGAACATCGGAGGCTTCCTTCAAGCCGCCAGGGAATTACGTGTCCTATGGAGCGAACCATACCTTTCAAGGTTGCCTAAAGAGTCAGGGTTTAGAGTTTAGGGTTGATTTAGCGTCTAGGGTGGGAGTAAGGGAATACATCGGGTACTGCCCCTACCCAGTAACAGTTGGATCATACTTCTATTATGGTTACATCTAGCCCTTAATCTTCGCCCTTTTATAGACTGTTGCTGGGTGGGGGCAGTACCCAAGGAGTATATACATAGGGTGTAGGATTTGGGGTTTAGGGTTAGGAACCGGGGAACACAATCCCTACATCCTCCCAATAGAATACCGTCCCATATTCGCTACCAAGCCCCAGTAAGGTTGTAAACCCTAAGCCCTAAGCCCTAAACCGCGTCAACAACATCAACAATAAGGTTGTGGTGCTGCTTTGAGCTGGCCGCATATGGAAAAGTTAACCCAACGGGACGCATCACTGTAGCTTGGTGGGCTAGGGTTTAGGATTCGGGCCTCGGGCCTACGACGTTATCACTTTATAGCTTTTGTGGTTCCTCCTTTCCATTGTAATGGAGCCCCGAAGCATAAACCCTAACCCTAAACGGTAAACCTCAAGCCATTCCCTAAGGGTCCAAGAACCCAAATAATGGGGTTTTAGGGCCCAAATACTACACCATTAATGGTATTTGGGCCCTAAAGCCCTATTACTTGGGTCCTTGGGCCCTTATCTAACCCCCTAATATCCCTACATAGTCCCCCTACAGCCCCTTTAAAGGGACCCTAGTATTTGGGTCCTTGGACCCTTAGGGAATGTAGAGCAACCAAGGTAGTTCCAATTTTTCGGGAGGTAGCCGTGTGTCAGATGTGGCTCTTGCTGTACCTCGGCCCGTGGGTCCCTGTAGTTCCCATGTAGGGTTTAGGGGATTAGGGTATAGGGTTTAGGGATTTAGGGTTTGGAGTTAAGGGTTTAGGGTTTAGGGATTTAGGGTTTGGGGTTAGGGTTTAGGGGTTTCCCAAAATTAGGGGTACCTTAATGGGCGTACCTGTAATAAATATTATAGTATTTTGGGGTCTATATTGGGGTCCCCCTATTTGGGGAAATTACCATATAGGCTTTATAGTATTGGGTGTAGGATTTAGGGTTTAGGGTTGAGGCTTATAGTTCTCACGTATTCCCAGGGATACTAGCAGGGTTTAGGGTTTAGGGATATTACGCCCCTCAACAGAACATAGGACGTGAACTGGAAACTGAGGTTATATGGGTGTTTATAGAGATTATGCAACGAAACATGGGTAATTACGTCTAAACTGTAGGTGGTCGACATTACAGGTATGCTCTCTGTCTCTTTGGGATGATGGGCACTAACATCGGCATGCTTGTCCTTGCGGTGTTCGTGCTTCCCATGGTGCACTCGCTGCGAAGTACCTGCATGTACCTGTAGTCTCTTTAGGAATCATTTTCCAGTTTTGTTGAAGTATAGCCCTAAGGAGTTGTGAAAACGACATAATGTATTGAACCCTAGAAGCCCCAAAACCTAAAACCTTCTAATACAGGTCTATAGGGGCTTACAGGTACAAGCACAAGTTGCTTTCTGGACTCAGCACCTTCGATGTCAAGAACTTGAGCTGCGAGAATGAAGAAGACAAGGCCCACATCCACGAAGCTATTGAGCACTGGTACGGGAGTCTGGACTCCTTTTCTGAATTTGCACCTAGGTTGCTCTTCGGATGGTTTGTTTTTTCCTGGCGTTCGATGTGCAAGGCTGTGTGTCCTTGTTTGCCCCATGCTGTTGGAGATGGGTACTTGAGTATCTTGTGATTTTAACCCTAGGGCTTCCAATGCCCCGAAGTGGCTACCATTTCTAGTCTTCAGGGCCAACATTTCCAAAACTCAGAGACCCCAGATATTTTGATGTGGTTAGCAAGGAATGAAGGAGGCATCCTTACCGTAACATTATGGTAGCCCATAAAAAACCACGAATATAGTAAAGGCAAGGGTGACAGGTTTAGGGGTGAGGGTTTGTGCTTTGTGCGCATGAGGTCAGAGGGCCATTCCGGCAGGACATAAACGAACATGTGTGCATTCCTGGCGCCATGCCGCTGGGCAACTCGGACGTTTGTTAAAAACTGCGGGGTCATAGCCCCCCTTTAAGTAGATAGAATGGTGCTTTGGGGATTTTTAATAACTGGTTTGAGCCCTCTGCATCCTTGCGCGCAGCATTTGATGTTCATTGAAGGGTGAGGGTTCAGTGGACCTGGCCCATTTGCCAGATAGCCCAATGCCCCTAATTAGGGAATACCCTAAAGGTTTAGGGTTCAGGGAGTATTCCTTAATGTTGGACCCTGTTTAATAAGTATGGCTCCGCCCCCCCTTAACATTAGGGCCCTCCCAAGAATAGAAATTAGGGACCCTCAATACGGCCCCCCTGAGCTCCCACGGTGCTGAGGTCCTTGTAGATTGATTTAAAAGG